CTCTTCCTGTGCAGCCTTGCCCACTTCCGGGAAAAGCACCATGGCCTGAATGATCAAACCACTTCTTGCTATTGGTAATATAGCAGACAGATATATCGTTTGACAAGTATAAAATCCAGAGATAATAAATTTTGCTGCTAGCAAAGGGGTACTTCTTAGTGTAGAGAAAAGCAACGTATACTCAAGAAGCGTTCGTAGACACAGAGATACGTCTAGAATGCGACCTAGCAAGGCGTATTTGGGCCTACGGTATGTTAGAGTGAGTAGAGATTCTTCTCTGGAGAAACTATCCTGAGAAGGGGAGGTGCGAGCCGTTGGTTCTGTGGAATTACGAAAAGGCCGACCTTCTTGCTATTATAGCTTGAAGGTATATATATTTGACAGGCTGACGGGTTCGGTGGTTGCTCATTGGCTGATGATCTAATCGAGGGCTGTAGGAATTGAAACATATATATTAGGAGAATCTTCAAAGCATTAGCTTTTTCTATACCTTCTCAGCAACCTCGAAAAGCTCTTCTAGGCTGCGTACTGGTCGCACACCAGAGCTGACTTGTATACTGGCCTTCTAGGCGTGTACATCCTCGATGATAACTGGCTACGATGTAATCACTACGCTCTCTATGTCTGCCGACGCATCGAGAGCCTGTGGAGCGGCTGAAGGACCTAAGTTCGCGACATTTAGCGCAGCCCTGGCCTCGCCAAGGACCTTGTCAGCGACTTCCTTTTCCATCTTAAAACCGTCAATAAGATGGCTGGCAGCGGCATCTGAGATCGCTCCGCTCGATGACGCGTCTTTGAGGCGACTCTGCAAAGCCTCGTTGTTGACTGTGATCTTGTGTCAGGCCAGAATGATTCTGACCGCAGCGGCAGCGGCATTCATCTTATCACCGAGGGAGAGATCGTTAGCCTTAGCCTGTGCTTGAAGATGCACTGATACTTTGGACCGCTGAGAGGATGATGTCGAGATGTACTGGCTGTAGAAGTCGACCATGTCCTTTTTGGTGAACTTCCCAAGAGTCGCAGCATCAACATCGGCTGTACGGGTTGTTAGTGCCATGCTGATGTGATACAATTGAGAGACACATACTTTGCAGGAAATCGTACGAATCACTGTGGATATGATACCAGAACCTCGTGTTTTCAGACGTCAAGTCCTTCAACTTTTCCAGCCTGTTATTGATCATCGCACGCTTGTGGCTCTCAAAGTCAACCTCGCTCATGTCATTCAACGTCTGCTCGAACGTGGTGAGGGAATTTTCGATGCGAGCCTCAAGGTACTGACAGTCTTTCTCACTCTGGACGAGGATGTAGTATCCTGACCAGTCGTCGTGGAAGCTAGGGCCAGACAACACGACGTAGCCGAGCTGCTCAATGATACGAAGCTGGTTGAAACAAGGCTCGTCTGTCATCTGTCCAAGAAGTAGCAGCTTAGCGCGCATGGCGCTATTGTAACGGTCGCCGGCATACAGGTTGTACTCGATGCAGTGGTTGATGTTTCCAGGGTCCTTGAGTTGCTTCGCGTAGGTAAAGTTACTTCCAGAGGGCCAGATTAGTGCTCGACGCGTCGGTATCTGGTTCTCCGGTAGTCCTCTTGGCTTCATGGTACGCTCTACGAGATTAGTGATCTTCAAAGCGTCCTCTTTGTATAAGGTTGCCGTGTGCCAAATTTTCAATTTGACATTACGCTAGAATCTGCGGGAAGAATTGCTGAACGTCCTGCGCTGTTACGTTCTCAAATTCTGGGAGCATTTCGTCGCTCGTTACACTCTTCTCGCTCTTAAACTGTGCAGAATAGGTAGTTATCAATCTGGTCGAAAGGTTGCTCATACTCCGAATTGCGCAAGCAACGCAACATCCGGCCGTGGATGATCTTGAAACGATCTTGCGATACCTCAAAATCTCGTACTTGGAGCAAGATCTTCTCAAGTAATACACAGAGTTTGTCGTTGTAGCCGCCTACCATACTTGTCAACGAGCGAGCCGGCTCGCTCAGTCAGCTTGCTTAGCTTGGTTGGATGGGGGGGTTGGAAACTTGGGGCTGAAGGACTTGGTGGAGGGGCAATCTCACGATGATTTTTAGGTGTAGTGCGTTAGTTCGAAACCTAGTTGTACCCTAAAATATACCCTTTTTTGCTATATTTCTAGCAAATAAGCTACTTGTTGGAAAGTGGAATTGCACTGTCCTAATCAGGCTAGCACCACGTGACCGATAATCCTGTATTTAGCCCCTGAGTAGAGCAGACTCCAATCGATACACTTACATGCCATGACCGAGAGAGTCATTCTTTCTCAATACTGTAACGGTTTGGGCCTTGCCAAGACCGACTTGGGTGAGAGTTGGGTACGGCTATCGCTACCACACTTTTTTATCACACACACCTATATAGCTGCAGTTTCTCCATAGCTATACAATGCAACGCAGTCCTCCTCCTCTCCTCACACCGTTACAGTTATGAGCCCGGAAGCCTTTAATTAAATCGCTGCGTTCACCCGATATACAGCTAACAGACAAGCTGTCGATACGACGACACTCAACACTAGGAGCATATTTAGCTAGGTAGTTATGGCAACTCAAGAGCACGAAATGCAGGTGACGAGAGCGTCAGTTACCCTCCGAAAGCCAGACGATTGGTCGAAATGGCTGTTCACGAGGAAGATATCCGCAGACCGGAATGGTCTGTGGGAGTACGTTAACCCAGATCTTTCGCCAGAGAGGCTGAAGATGCTAGAAGACGAGAGACCTAAAGAGCTCGAAGTAAGGAGATTTCGAAATCCTCTTACAGACGAGCAGATCGACATCCCAGACTTAACAGCGACAGAGCTCGCTACGTACAACTCATAGGCTAGACGATTCGATCGCGATGAGGCTAGGTGGCTCACGAAAGAGAAGGCTCTCCGAAACCTGAGCCTAGAGATCGTGCAGACAATTGACATTAAACACCTAGACCTAATCCTCGATTGCGCAAACGCCTATAGCCAGCTGAGAACGCTAAAGAAGCACCTCTGTCCATCAATTGGAGAGAGGAACCACCAACTTAGAGCTTGGTACACAGCAGTCTGCACGAGACCAAAGACCGCAAACTTAGATACATGGTTTGACGAGTGGGTGACGATCACCCGACTCCTCACGGAGGCCAAGATGCCAGAGACGACTGGCAATAGAGCGCAGGAAGAGTTTATCCTGTCGATTAGAGGCCTGGACGATAGCTGGGCAGCTACTCAGCTACAAGACCTTATTAAGAAGGAACAGAAGAATGAAGAATTTCCGCTGATCGCGGATTTGATCGCGGAGTTCAGATTGTACTACCGACGTACACGGCCGATCGCGTCAGGACTTGGAACCTTTGCTACGCTCGAAGCAGGCAGCAGCAATAGCCAAGGATCTCGTACACGTACAGGACCATGGATACCAAGGTGTCTAGATGGGGAAAACCACAAATTCGATAACTGCCCGTACGTTAACCAGTCAGTTCGGACAAAGGGCTGGAAGCCAGATAAGGCAATTCAGGATAAGTTCACAGAGCGTAGAGATAGTCCTACGTCGAATTCAATGGCAAACGCACTAAGAGCAACAGAGAGGGGATTGAGGAAGAAGATAAAGCCGCAGGCTGAGGTCCAGAGCTCGTCCATGATTAGTATGGACGATGGACAGCCAGCGCGCGATAAGCCACACGTTAATGCGGTGCTGCAGACTGCTGCAGCTACAGGACTATTAGCTCCACCACCGCTCACGAGATGGATGCCAGCATTAGGTCGAGTCCTTAGGACGAGAGACGTCGCCTTTATGTCTAGTGATGGGACTGAGCCTGTCTACCCAGATCGACAGATTCTGAGAGAGGTGGTGACGACACTAGACGTTCCAGAACCACTAGAGGAAACCGACCAGGAGATCGAATTGCTCCTGCAGTCAGCGCAGGAAGACTGGAGTAGCCCGAGCTGGCCCGAGCAAGCCGCTCGAACAGAGCAAGCCAAAGATACGTCTCACGCGTTGCCAACACCTGAGAGCACTCTAGGCAGACTCCGCAACAATCAATCGGATCGGCATGATTGATTCCTATCTAGGTTAAAGGCTGCCTAATGAAGTAATTCTTTAACCTATATAGGAATCAATCATGTCAATCGATTGATTGTTGCGGAGTCTGACTCTAGGACCGACGACTCGGCCTGAGCCCGAGCCCGAGCCCGAACCGGAAGCAGTCGAGAAAGACGAACCGGAAGCAGTCGAGAAAGACGAACCGGAAGCAGTCGAGAGAGACGAGCCAGAAGCAGTCGAGAGAGACGAGCCAGAAATAGTCGAGATGCCGCGAGGCTGGGAGCCTATACCAGCCGAAGCAGAGGCACCAGATCGACGATTAAACAACGCTCCAAGACGTGAGGAGATTAGCGGCCAGGTTAGTGAGTCTAACGTTCTGACGGGAAAAAGACAGAAGACGCTCGGCACGTACTTTGTTGCGTTTGCCGAAGCACTCCAGCAAACAGAGCCACAGAAATCACGGCTACACAGGGATGAGCTTCCGCCTCCGCCAAAGAGATGGAAAGACCTAGAGAAGCACCCTTTTGGACAGGAATTCAAAGCAGCAGCAGCGAAAGAGTTCAAGAGCCGTCGAAAGAAGGGCTGCTTTAAAACAACGTTAGCCATAGTAGTTGATAGCCAGAGATCCGTTACGAAGTCGACAACTGAGGCTGAGCTGATAGCTCTATCAGCAACCGGAGGAGAGATGGAATGGTGGACCCGGGTCTTCCAGCATATCAAGTTCGACCCGGAGATTCAACCAACGATCTACTGCGACAACGAGCAGACGGTCGGGATCGTTAAGAAAGAAGACGAACGGCTTCACACGAAGCTAAGACATGTAGACACCCATCAAATGTGGGTAAGACAGGAGGTACAGGAAGGAAGGCTCTGTGTAGAGTGGTGCCCTATAGCAGAGATGCCTGCAGATGGACTCACAAAGTCCCTCGTAAGGCAAAAACACGCCGAGTTTGTGAGACAGCTAGGGCTTGAAAATGTTCGCCAGCTTCTTACTACTCATGTAAACACACCAGAACCAACCGAGCTATGGCACTGGCACTAGTTAGCTTTGTTGATCACGGCAGCTGGGGGGGAGTGTAACGGTTTGGGACTTGCCAAGACCGACTTGGGTGAGAGTTGGGTACGGCTATCGCTACCACACTTTCTCATCACACACACATATAGATAGCTGCCCTCCTTCATAGCTATACAATGCAACGCAATCCTCCTCCTCTACTCACCCCGTTACAGGCCTTGATGATGAGGAGAAGTGGGTTATCTCCGGAGATACTCTCGTAGGCGAATCTCGTGGAGTTTCTGAAACTCCCTTCGGCGGTTTCTGGTGAGGGTGTATACTGCAATGCGCTTGACTGCGAGCCTTGCTTTGATAGTCGCGCGGCTCGTTCTGTTGCTGTGAGAGGTACTGGAGATGGACTCTTTCGCGCGCGCTTTCTATCTCCTTTACAGTACCACGGTACTCATCCTTGGCGTACCAAACTCAAGTTGAGGCGACGAAGGTGAAACTGACCCTCGAAGTAGCTACAGAATATCTGGGTTGTACATAAGACTATTTTCGACCTTTTTGCAGATAGCTTTTAGTTGTAGGATACTCTCGTCATTCTAGTTTGCCGCTGAATAGTATTTCAGATTTTCACTGTTCACCTAGTATATTCATTCATGACCTCATTGTTCTATGGAATCGCTTCTATCTTTTTTATCGCGTATTTTCTGCTAAAGATACACACAAAACCTTCTGGAACGGTATATCTGGCAAATCTTGTGATAGTGATCAAACCCCCACTCAATAGACGGTAGTTATTTGCCGAGGGCAACAAATTGACAGTATTAGATGCAGCCGCTAGAACATGTAAGAAAATTCAGTAAAATGTCGTCAAGCACTCGCTGCTGGGGTAATAGAGGTCTAATTTCTTTCCGACCTTGCAGCATCCGGGGCAAGATATTGCTTACGAAATCCGTAACGAGCGTCCTTATAAAGGTTTTCTTCCAGGCATTCGTCGCTAGTGAGAAATTCCTGCGCCTCCATTACAAGGGCTAGATCTAGCCTAGAGAATCAGTAGCTAATATTTCATTCGCAGGCGCTTTCCAGGACTTGTTATCCCGAGAGACAAAAAACATATCTGTACCAAAATAAGAAAGCACACCACACAAATGTCGCTACTATATAAATGCAATGCGCATTAAGATGCCCGTGTAAAGGGTAGTACCACAGGAAAGAATCTGACGGGATGTTTTTCTCGTGGGTTCACCTGAATAAGCATTGCAGTCATTTCGTTACATCAAGATCTTTACACGTCGCAGGAGTGGTGCAGCGTCTCGCCGCAGATATGGCGCCTTCCTACACGCATTTGTATCTGGAGGGCATTGAGGTACACCTAACACTAGACTTATAGCCCGCCGAGGAGCTTGCGGCTCTTTTAGAGCCTCTCAAGGTGCAAGGCGGCGCTCAGCAAGTTTCTACGTGGGATAGTCAAGTCTTGCCACGTCGCCATCAGCGGAGCCCCATCCGGCAACATTCACTCAACATCTGTGAAAGAGAGAGAGACGAGAAGGACAAAGAAGTTGAGGGGA